TTATGGGTTGAGATGTTCCACACTGATTACGAGTGTTAAGACAATCTTCCTCTTTTGAACTAGTTTTTTAGAGTGTGTTATACTTTAGAGGTATGCACTCTTGTATTTCTTCATCATAAGACACTTATCACATTTTCTAGCATTCAGGTAGAGATGCAGTGTCGACTGATATCTGTTGGTAAATGCCTGGAAGTCATGCGTGGCATCTACTTTAAGAAAAGTTTGAATATTATACTTAAAAAAAATATATTCCATGAGATAAAAAGTTCTTACAAGTAGCTTAAGAAGATAACCATCATTAAGAAAATTTATTATATCTTGCCACGATCCTTTTTGACAATTGCATTATTGTTTTTGTGCGATATCTCTCCCTGGGTTCTCATGGCAACGGCAACGCTTATGCCCACTAAGGAGTTTTCTTTGTTATTATTAAAATAAAATAAAGCGAAAGAAATTATACGCGATAAAAAGCTCATTGTCGTGTGGTCCATTGCAGAATTAAGATCACGATTTGGATTGTTTAAATCAATTCCATTAGGGAAAGAGCAAGAAATTAGGTTAATGAAAAGAAGATCCTATCTGTCCCATGAATTGGGAGTATATATGTATGATAGGCTCATTTTTTTAACTTTTTTATTAAAGGGAAAAATCAACCTCAATTTGAAACTCAATGGAAGATCAACACCACACCATTTACTTGCTTTCATTCAAAGATACGTTTATACTTTTAATTAAATTATATAAATTCATAAATATATTAAAATTATTTTGTTTTATTGTATGATAATTTGGTCTCTATTTAACATTGTTAGACCAATTTTTACTGTTAATGTATGTTTATTTTTATCAACTCTCTATTTACTAAGAACAAATAAAGAAAATAAAATATCTTATAATAAAAATTACTATTTTTTAAAAGTGTCTTGTTTTTTAATATTAAATTTAATGCACTCAATCGGGTAAGGAATCGTAACCCTTGTCCTGTTTTAAATTAATATTTAACGCTGGGAATATAGTAACCTCTTAGTCGATCTAAGAAAGTTAAAAGAACAAATATCATACAATATCTAGAGATTTATGATATATTCCAGTCCATGTATAAATATTAAAAATTTATTATGTATAAATGTTTATTATATATTTTTAGACACATTAGTGTTTTTTTACTACTATATACTGTAGTAATTAATGACAAAAAAACGTTTCTTCGTTTTTAGAAATAAAATAAATCAAATGTTTGCCTTATGTTTGAAAGTAACCGTGATGAATAATACATATTATGAGTATATTTGTTAATCCATTTTAACTATTTAAAAGTTTATTTTGTAAATTAAAAAAATTGTTTAATAAAAATAATTTTATTCAATAAAATAGTTAAAAAAAGTAACTATTGGTATTTTTAACATTATTCTAACTAATACATGTTAAAATGCTAGCTTTTGGCTACTAGTGAAAGTAAGTTTCATATTTTTGTCTCTATTATTTTGTAATAAATTTCTTCTTACTCTTTTCTTTTCTAAAATCCTATTATTTTTATCTTTTACACGTTCAATTTTTTAAATTTATTTTTACCATTAATTTTTATTAAAATATAATAAAATAATAAATCTTATTATTTTTATAATATAAAATTATCAAAATAATAATATAAATTAATTTATATTGCTTTCTTTTATAATAATTTTTAAAATAAATTAAATATAATAATTTACTAAAAATATATAAATTTCAAATTTTAGCAAAAAAAAAAAAAAACTATATCCTCATGTTTTATTTTATATTCATAAGATTATTTAACAGCTAATTTTTATCAAACTTATTTTGTATTAATAAACAATTCGCTCACTCTGAAAATCATAAGCCGTTACTCTATCCATCCTCGTGGCAGGTGGGTGTATCAGACTATTTTTGGTTTGTGTAAAGTTTAGATGAATTAGGTCCTTACTGCAATTATATTTAAATAAATTATATAATTATTATTTTTAGATGATAGGTATTTTAAATTTTATAAAATATATATTTTTAAAAAAGATTATGTAACAAAAGCAACAATTTTAGTTACTATTTATAAATGTATGGTATATTTATTTTTCACCTAAAAAATATAATTTCATTTAATATATTGTTCTTGTATGTATACATACACACATTTACGAAAACATTTTTTTTTATAAATTCTAAAGAATGAATAATAATTTATATCTTAATATAAATAAAAAAATCAAGCAAATTTATGGTGTTTTTTTTTAAAACAAAAAATATATTATTAGAGAGAATTCAAAAGAAATTCAAAATCTATATACATGGAGAAAAAAAAAATCAACGCTTACTTAGAAAAATAAAAAAAATAGAAACATACTTATGCGAAGTTAAGACGGATGCAATTTTTATGGGTTTAAATACCAATTAGCTAACAAAATAGATTATTCTTTACTAACGAGTAATATCCATTTTGAGGACTTTTCTTTCATTTAAAATACCATTAAAAAATATTATTCTATTTTTATGTAACTACAAAGATCACACTGTACTTACGCAAATAATTAATAAATATATTTCTTCTCTTTTACTACAACTAATACCAATCTAAGCAAGTAAGTGGGTCGATAAATTTGAAGGCCAACGAGAATCTAAGCCAATATGCTGTAAAGTACTAGATTTGAAATGAAATTAAGCACGTTAAAAACAAATGACTTTGAAGTTCCTCCAAATCATGACAGAAGTAATAAGTTATATCATCAATTTGAACATCACGATCAATCAGCAGACCTTTACAAAGAAGTGCATTTAACAACAATCATCAAGAAAAATACTAGATACTTAAAGAGAAACATTTTCTCTCCATAACCTTTGCAAGACGTCTGCTGTATATTGATTTACACTCTTAAGACTACAAAAAAGTTCAAATAACAATGAATATGCAGATTACACTGAATAATAACCTGAAAAATCTGTCCTTTAAATCTATTTATTTTCTTGTACCACCTTAATAGAAACCTCATCCACAAGTTCCAACAAACTATTAAAACTTGAGATTTCTTATTAAAAAAGTCATTTTTGTCAACTAACATCCCAAGTCCACCTTGTGCCACCATGAAAACAATTATCCAATATACAAGATTCAACATTTATTGTCACCACAAACAATTGTAGAAATATTTCACACAATTGTACCTCGTTTATTCACTTATTTCTTTAAAAAAAGGATGTGTAGACTTACACTCATACTCTTATCAAACTTCTAATTAAGTCATGAGTTCTCTTGATGAATAACTTATAACAAATCAAAGCAAAACTATAGAGCTGGTGAAGCTTATTAAATAAAAAACATGATTTGCCTTATTTTATAATAAATTAACTCATGGAGATTTATAATCAATTTAATTATATTTTTTGTTTTTAAAATAAGTATAATTTTAATTTTAATTCTTCGCATTTAATTATCTAATTTTTGTAATTTGATTAGATTATTTCTTTTATACTTTAATTTACGTAAACCATTTATAAGTTTATCAAATTTTGTAACATATCTTGCGTGTGAAATAAGATAATTTTTTTCATCCAAAAAATTTGTGCCCATAATTATTTCAGAAAATATATAAAATAAATAAATTACTTATCCAATTTTAGATTCTGGTAGAATATTTTTAAAAGAATTTAAATACACAATTCCTCTCTTAAATCTCAATATTTAGAAATTCATAAATGCTGTAAGTATAAACCAATTTGATCGTTTTGTCTTGTTAATACGCTGAGCAATATTTAGCTTGGAGAATTAAATAATTATAATAATTTATTTTGAATTACAATTTGAAAAATATTACTAGTTAAATTAAAGAAATGCTAATTTTTAAAAAATGTTAAATTGAAATATTCTTGAACGATAGCGGTTAACAAACCATACACAAGCTGTTACTAAAGCGGGTGCATTAAAATATATATATCTCATGATCGGTGACTGCGATGCAGTTAGTAGGGTATAATCTCCATTAAACCATATTGTATATAAAACCAAAGGGACAAATGATGTTGGCGTTCGCAAAAGTTTATAAAACTTTTATCAAAATTGTTTATAAATTTATATTTTTTTAACTTTTGTTTTATTAAATGTTACAATAAAATTTATGAAATAAAATTTCACATAAAATTAGGAAAATATTTAATTAAAATGTATATCCAGACATAAAAAAATTTGTTACAATTGGTGAAAAATAAAAAATGGTATTAATAATGGGAAAATGATGATGAGTATTTAAAGAATTAAAAAAAGGTAAATTTTATAGTATCTAATTTTTTTTTTATAGTTACTATATCTAAAAAATTTAGATAATAATAAAAAAATATGTGTCAAGTTAAAAAAAAATATTATATATAATTTATTTAAAATTATATTATTTATTATATAGTCTTATACATATTATTTAATTTTTTATTTTTTAAATAAATATAATTTATATTTAATTAATTTTTATTTATTATAAATAAAAAATAATTATAATAAAATATATTAATATAATAATTGAATAATTAAATATTAATAATAATAGAATTAAAAATATAAAAATATATTAATATAATAATATTATTTATTTTTTAAATTTTAATTAATTTAATTTTGATTACATCTTATTTTTATTAAAAATTTAATTACTTTCTAATTTATTTAAGTATAACAATTTATTATTAAATAAATTTAATATAAAATATATTTTATTTAAAATTAAAAATTTATAAAAAATATAAAAAATTAAATATATATAATATATGATAATAATAAGACTATATAATAAATAATATAATTTTAAATAAATTATATATAATAATTTTTTTAATTTAATACTTGTCTCTTTTTTATTAATTAAAATTTTTTAAATGCAATATCAATAAAAGTTTTTTAAAATATCATATCACACACCTTATTAAAAAAATAGAGCAGTAGTTACTTGGTGTTTAATAAAGTGGGGTTTCCACCAAAACGTGGCCAATGAATTTCAGGAGAATAAATTACAGTAGGCTAAGCTGACTGTATAGACTAGAGGACCATAGAGAGGCTATAGATACTTACAGAAGACAAGAGAGAGAGAGAGAACACCACATTATGTTCATGACACAGACAAAAGCAGCAGCAGCCTTTGGAAATTGGTAACGTCGATTCAGCTGTTTAGGGGGGAAAATTCATCATTCACAACAACAACTGCGACCCACAACACATGCCAGAGAAGGGTTTTGCTGCTTCCGAGGAAAGTGAAGAAGAGAAAAAGAAACGAAGAAAGAAAACTGGCCTTGTTAGGTGTTCACCACCGTGGATTCTGTAACCGAAACCTTAAGCAGCCAAACAGTTAAAGCCACAATTGCATGAGATAATTTCCGGGGCAGTTCAGTTCAGTTCAGCTTCGTTACAGAAAAAGAAAAGAAAAGAAACTACACTCAATCATCATTACTCCTGTGTAAGTGTAACTGTCTTGTCTGCCTAGCACTTTTTCTCTCTTTCCTATTCATGGGATTATCTATTATGGCTGCGCAGCTGCCCTGAGCTTTTCCCTCTGTTTTTCTCTCTCTCCTACGACGTCGTTCTTCAATGGAGCCTAATCTCACCGCTGCCGCCAATTCTCAGTCGGAAACGGGTCAATTCCTCTTCTTCGTTACTAACAAAACAAATGAAAGCAAGTGTTTCTCCCTTTGAAACAATTTCTGATTGTTTCTTTTGATTTGTGTTTGGTTAGGTGTGGGAGATGAGGATCTGTATACGAAGCTATGGAAGCTGTGTGCAGGACCTTTGGTGGATGTTCCTCGTTCTGGGGAAAGAGTTTTCTACTTCCCTCAGGGTCACATGGAACAAGTATGCTTCCATTATCTCCTAACTCAATTTTTCGTGGCCAACACTTGCTTCCATGTGACAGTTTTGTTTTGGTCTTCTGGGTTTTGCAGTTGCAAGCTTCAACAAATCAGGAACTGAACCAGGAACTGAGTCAGCAAATCCCCCTCTTCAATCTCCCCTCCAAGATTCTCTGCCGTGTTGTGCACATTCAGTTGTTGGTACTGTTTTTTTATTCCCTTTTACTTGTTTAAACTTTTTTTGTTCTTGTTTGTTCGTTGTCATGTTGGTTATTTGTGTGTATTTACGGTGAAGTTTTGTTAATTTGTAGGCTGAACAAGAAACTGATGAAGTTTATGCTCGTATAACTCTGCTTCCGGAAGCAAATGTGAGAGATGTGTTTCTCATCTCATCCTTCTATGATTTTGTCTTGTCCATCTGTTTAGTCGATATAAATATGTTCGTTTCTTATTTTGCTTGTTCTATGAACTGAAAGATGCGAAATACAAAAGGGAAATGGATTTCAATTTGAAACACGGGTTAAAAGTTAAGTATTTCTCTGAAGAATAATGTTTTGTGGTTTTATTCAGCAAAATGAACCGACTAGTCCCGATCCAAGTGTACCCGAGACCCAAAAACAGACCTTTCACTATTTTAGCAAGATATTAACTGCCTCTGATACTAGCACACATGGAGGCTTTTCAGTTCTGAGAAGGCATGCTACGGAGTGCCTGCCTCAATTGGTATTTACTATTTGCTCTATGAGTTTCCTTAGGCTGGGAGGCCTAATCTACATATTTAATGAAAATCCAACTTTCCTTATTTTAATGCTTGCTATTTTTGTATGTTTTATAGGACATGACCCAAACAACCCCTACCCAGGAATTGGTAGCAAAGGATCTTCATGGGTTCGAGTGGAAGTTTAAACATATATTCAGAGGTAATTTATTTGGTTTTGATATTCCAAGTCCTCTTTGGGGGTTTATGTTATAATTGCATATTCAAATTTTGAAGCGAGTGAATATCGTAATTAGTATAAAATAAAATGAGGAATGCCAGGAAACGTAGTTTTCACATCTGCTATTTTGCTTCTCCCTATGCATATGATCAGGTCAACCAAGGAGGCACTTACTCACAACTGGCTGGAGTACATTTGTCACATCCAAAAGACTGGTTGCTGGAGATGCTTTTGTGTTTTTAAGGTATTTAAAACATTGGTACCTTGTATGAATGTTTTTTGATGTTGAGTACTCTTGTTGTCGTCTGCACTTTGGTCTTCAAATGTTTCTTGCAGGGGAGAGGATGGGGAGCTGAGAGTTGGTGTGAGACGTCTCGCTCGGCAGCAGAGTCCCATGCCTTCGTCTGTGATATCGAGCCAGAGCATGCATCTTGGAGTGCTTGCCACTGCTTCTCATGCTGTTTTGACTAGTACCATGTTTGTGGTTTATTACAAACCCAGGTTTGTAAACATGAAATTTGTTTTAGGTGTCATTAGCTTATAATTCAAATGTAACACAATGTGTAACTCTTCTTGAACACTCCTTTTGATACATTTAGGACTAGCCAGTTTATTATTGGTGTGAACAAATATTTAGACGCAATCAACAATAAGTTTTCAGTTGGCATGCGTTTCAAGATGAGATTTGAGGTGGAGGACTCGCCTGAAAGAAGGTATGCATTGTAAACAGTTATCACAGTCACTGACTCTCACGTTGCCTTCAAGGTGACCATTCATTGTCATATTGCTTTAATTTTTTGGTCAGGTTCTCTGGTACTATTGTTGGGGTTGGGGATGTATCTCCAGGATGGCCAAACTCTCCTTGGCGTTCATTGAAGGTTGAATTTAGACCCAAAATTCCCATTTAATCTCTTATTCTGTCAATTTGAGTTTTTGAATGTATAATCTTTTGCTGCTTAGGTGCAATGGGATGAACCAGCAATAATTCCGAGGCCAGAGATGGTTTCTCCGTGGGAGATAGAGCCTTTTGGTGCTTCTACTGCTTTAAATGTCGCTCAACCTGCAGTAAAGAGCAAAAGGTCGAGGCCTGCTGAGGTTTCATCTGGTAGGAGGCATATTTTACCAAAGTTCTCTTAATTAGCAGTTTATTGACTAACTGCACATTGGCTTAAACAATTTATTTTTGGATGTAGAAATTGCTCCAAATTCTCTTGCTCCAGCTTTCTGGTATCATGGACCATCCTTATCCCACGACCCTACACAATTAGGTAGCGCTGCAGAAAACCAAAGTAATGAAAACCCAGTTGTCTGGTCTTCGAGGCAGAAAGAAATTAATGGCAATCCTGTGAATGCTAACTCCAGCAGCTCCAAAGTACGTGCAGAAGGAATGTGGTCTTCTTCCCCACATTTGAATGCCTCTTGTAACTTTTTTCCTGACCCTAAAAACAACAAAGCTGTTGCAACACAATTATCCGTCTCTGGTAGTTACCCTCCGGTTTCATCTGAGAGGAATGATGACTTGGCACATGATCCAGTGGAAAGTGGTAAAAAGACTGAGAATCCCATGGATTGCTGGGTATTTGGAGTTAATTTGACTAACAACTTTACTAATGTTACCCTTCCGGAGAAAGAAATTGGATGTCCAGCTATTATTCCCAGTGGTCCCAAAGATTCTATTGCTGTTGCTGCATGTGAAACTGAGGCTGCTCAGAATCCCAATTATTCACTGTCCAATAAGGAGCAGATGCAAGTTATTTCTGATGCATCACCCAATGAGAAGCAGACCAAGCAGGCCACTATAGTACCATCCATGAGGACCAGGACCAAGGTACATATTCAGCATAAGTGTAATATTCTACAGATTCCTTTTGATACACAAGGAAATTTTATCAGCTTTTAAGTAGGTGAATGGTAGGGTAGGAATATTAAGTGTAAAATTCATTTTTGAAATTTGAAGTCATAGTTCAGTTCCATTTGAATAATTTTTATCATATATTGATGGATTACGTACTCTTATTTATTTGTTTGAGAAGGTGCAAATGCAAGGTGTTGCTGTTGGTCGTGCTGTTGACCTGACTGTGTTAAAAAATTATGATGATCTCATAGACGAGTTAGAGAAAATGTTTGACATAAAGGGAGAGCTTCGTGTGCAAAACAAGTGGGCAGTTACTTTTACTGATGATGAAGATGACATGATGCTTGTTGGCGATGATCCATGGCCGTGAGTAATTTTAGCATCGGTAGCTAAACTTACAATATTACTTGTTTCATAAAAACTAGACTCTAATTATCTTCTTTCTTCTCCCCCTTATTGCAGTGAGTTCTGTAGCTTGGTGAAGAGGATTTTCATATATTCAAAGGAAGAGGTAAAGAAGATGAAATGCAAGCATTCTGCTGCTTCATCAGAGGGTGAAGGGACTATGTTGAGTCCAGATTCACAGAATAAGGATGAGACTCAGCAAATCTCTTGCGATTTGACAGCTTAACCTTTTTACTTTTTTTGTTTGTTTTTGAGGGGGAACGGTTTGGGGTAGGGTGCTCTTGATGGTTTGGATTGCTTGATTATATAAAGCTTCAAAATTGTAGAATAGTGGACGTGTGTTCGTGGACTAATATAATATTAAAGTACAAAAACTTCAGCTGGATTTTAGGTACTTTATATTTGTGAATACAATTTTTTTTCTTCGTACCATTTGCGTTAAGTAACATGCATGCCTTTTGCTTCTCCACTTGTTTGCCTTTGATGTTTATCCATGTTTACTTGCATCAATGTTTTTGTTTTACCTTGAGTTTTGGCAGATTTTGTTATATACATATTTTTACCATTTTGATCACGAAATTTTAATTCACACTTTGCTTGATAGCTGCATAAAAATAAAACCCGTTGGCATTTAAATTCACACTTCACTGCAGTTCTATCCTCCATTATTTTTCCCAATTACTTATTTTTCCATCTCTTATGAAAACTACCAAGTTGATTACAATTTTGACTTAAACTGAGACTTTCTTTATTATTATTATTATTATTATTATTATTATTATTATTATTATTTGGCATTGGAAAAATATTAAAATGGTTTCTAAGATATTCGTATTTAAAGTTCACAAAGTTGTTTTAAAATTTTATATAAAATTTTAATTAACAACTTTTATTGACAATTATAAGATCTAATATACAGATAACACTAAATGTTTGAATTTTTAATAAAAAAATATTTATTATTTTTAATGTATATTTATGGACACAATAAAAATATTATTTAATCAAATAGTTATTTTTACAGTGAAAATTTTATAAGTGTTTTAACTATTTATAGAAGAAAAATCTCTTTAGTATATTAGTAAATGTCGTCTATCATTTGAGTTATTTTTGTCTTTTATAATGTCCTTTTTAGAAGTTGTAATCGAATTATACTCGTTTGATTTTTTTTATAAGATATAAAAAAAAGTGATTTTTTTTAATTGTGATCTTCGATATAAGACACTTTCTGAATTTTTATATGTATTTATTATTTTTTTCGCATATTTATCTTTCATAAAACTTGAACCTTTATAGCCTTTTCATAATTAATATAATAATAGAGTTTAACTTTAGTAAGATAAATTTAGAATGTTGTAACAATACATTAACAACTTTTGACAATTTAAAAAAAAAAATGAATGGTTAAATTAAAAAAGTTTGATAATAAGACCAGAGTAGCATATTCAACAATACATAATAAGAAATTTATTCCATGCGCGCCAGGAATTGGTCACTTTTCCTGAGCTTACACAGTTATAGACAAGTGAGAGAAATCCTAGTGCGAATATAGGAACCGTATTTCTAGCACTTGTGAGTTGCCTAAAAGTTGGAGGCAAAGGTTGTTTGAATAGGATCCTTATTTCTTGCTATAAACTATAGGAAAGATCGTTTTATAAAACAGGAAAAAGAAAAATGGCAGTCAAAGGAAGTGAGCTCAAAGCTGTCATGAATGGCCTAAAGGAAGTGTGTTGTTTTGAGTGCAATAATCAGACAGCAACTGTCTCTGCCTGTGGATGCATCTCCTTTGGGTTTCACCTTCCTTCCTAACACTTTCTTTTTCCCCTTCAAATTTAGGTCTTATAGGACCACTAGACCACTTTCTTTTTTCACTTGCACTTTGCTGTCTATGTATATCTTATAATGCTCTATTTACATTTTCCTCACTGTACAATTTTTACCGATTTAGTCCAACATAATAGCCTTTTTCTTTTCTCAATAAGAAAATTGTAACTCTCTATCCCTATTGATGGTTCAAATATTATATTTTCTTAACAGTTTAAATATTTCAATAGAATCAATACAAGCTCTTGTATTCATAGAACAAAATCTTGTTCAATGATGCATGTACTTGCGTAAATAGTAGAGATCAAACAAAACCTCACTGCCTCTCATTTTTATTGCAATCTTTTTCTGTCTCTTTTTTTAATTGCATCGTTTACACTAGCATAATGGTAACGGGAAAGATAATGCGTATCTAGATTATTAGGGTAAGGTGTAAAAGTATTATAAATTATAGCACAATTATTTAAACTTTGAAATTTTATATCAAAATCTAGAGGTTGTGTTATAATTTATAATACTTATAGATTTTGAAATTTTATATCAATTATAGCTCAATACCTCTTTGTTCATTACCAATACCGTTTAATTATTTTTATATAAATATTTTAAAATTTGCTCTAACTAAAAATTCATTTTAAGTTCTAATTCATTGTCACTTTCTTTATTAAAAGTAATATATTTTCTCAATAATAAATAATAAAATAGAAAATAATGCCGACGATAAGAACTTCAAGAAGAAAAAAAATACAATGTACACGGACACTAGTCTTTAAAACCAATGTAATCAAACAATAAAGCAAATTGTTTAAGAAAAAAATACAAAATAATACAACTTGAACCGATATTTGTTGGAAAAAAACATAACTAGCAAATGTCTGAAACAAGTAAAGATATTTAAAAATAAATAAATAAATAACAGATAAAAAAAACAGCTAAAATAGAATACACACACATTTATTTATTTCATATTAAATATCATTTATCACATTTTAATTATTTAAAATTATTTATTCTTTTGAATATTGATAAATCATTACATATATATTTTTTTAATAATACTCTTATTTGTTAAAAATAATTTTTATTACATAATTGCTATAATAACTCAAAGATGAATTCTGACCAACTAGCTATGACAATGATTCTGACAGTTTTCATAAAAATATTTCAATAAAATCAATTTTCTTTGATATTACAATTAATAAAATCAATTATTTTCATAAAATATACGTATTAAGTAGTTGAAATAAGATAAACAAAATAGTATACATAAATTTTTTCTTTTTGGATTGAAACATATTTTTATTTTATACCTTTAAACACGTGTTCGTATAACTAAAAAGTTGAGGCTAATGTTAAAAAAAATTATATAGCAATTTGAGACCATGTTAAATGGACTTTTGATGAAGAAGAGGGTGAAAATTGAGTGCACATTATGTGAGAACAACACAATCTAAGTGGGGCCTTGGTGTGATTTCCCAATAAGTGTAGTGCTAAATTGGGGATCTCAAACGAATCAACAAATAAAACAAGTAATTGATGGGGAAGCAGTTATCGTGATTTTTTCGTGCGTCATCGTGATCTTTTCTCTGCAGGGATAAAACTGGAAAGTCGAATTTAAGCAAATACTCTTTGAATTATTACCATTGCTTATTAAAAGAATGATATAAACGTTTTATTTTTTAAATTATTAATTATAAAAAATATATATATCAAAAACACGTTTTAAAAAGCGCGTTAATGTTACTCTACACACCTGATATCAGTAACAAAATATAGGCGTGGGGCAAGACCATGATTTTGGCTACTCATAATGTTGTGAAAAATAGTTTTACTCCTCAGGTGGACCTTATTAGACTCACATCATTCTCAAAACCAAACGACACTCTTCACTGTATTTTGGAAGACTGGCAAATCCATCTCCCAAACAAGCCTTCATCGCTGTTCACTTTTACTGCTTCCAATCTTGTTTCAACTTTGCTATATTTTTAGTTATTTTTTAATAATCCTATTATATATTTTATAAATTAAGCATTAAATAAAAGTACACATTTTTTTATTTTTTGTTTTCTAAAACATGCGTATAAAATACACGATAAAAATTAATTAATAATAAAATTTTATTAAAATTATAATATTTTAAGTTATTGTGTGATTTTTAATGAATTGAATCCTATAATATTTTTAAAAAAACTTATTATATATTTTTTGTCGTGTATCATTAGATATATGTTAGAAATTTATTTATCTTAAAAATATAAAATATTTAAATCTTTTCATTTGATATTTGGAAAATTTTGTAGAGATAAGAGAGGCAAAAATATTTTGAATTATTCATCTTATTTATAAGATAATTCTGACCAAATCATGCATATTAAGAAAACGTATTCAGGTAGTTGATGCATTGATTTTAAAAAATTAGTACACAACTTTCTAAATTTACTTATATTTAAAGCTAAAATCCAGTTTAAAGACATTAAATCCTTAATAAATTCTATTATGACGATTTAATGGTGAATAAGAACAAATTTAAAAGATTTAATTACTTCTAAAGTTAATTGTTTATAACATTATCTTATAAAGTAGAGCAGAAAAAGTGCCAACAAAACCCGTTTCGGAATTGATTTTGGTATTGTTTCTAGAGGCCCATTATGGGTAATCACGCTGCAAAAAAAATGAAGTGCATTCATTTTTATATATTTTGACACGTCATGTTATACATTTTTTTAAAATATGTGAAGATTTAAACAATTATGCTGACAAACATTGCACTAGTATGTAGTAACTTGTAAGACAATTATGTAAAAATAAAATAAAGCACTGCATAACTTACAATTGCAAGTGAGAAGAGGGAATTTGAAGTTCATCGCGTACAACCTGGCCATGGTTTTTTATTACCTTGAAAAAGTATACAACATATATAGGAAAAAAACTTTATATGGTTTGTTCATGTTCTTTGATAGCCTTCTATAAATAATAAAATCAACATTTAAACTTTTTAATAGACAAATAATAAGTTAACATTATAAGTATTAAAATATTAGTATATCCTTGAGACAAATTATATTTAAATAAAATTAGGCGGAGAAAAGCATAATTTATATATTTTTTAATCTTCCTCGAAGAATTAAAGTATAAGAGTTGTGTTAAATATTTTCTTTATAAGGGTTAGATTTCTGTGAGTACAAGACAAAAGGAAGGCAATCGAGTTAGGCTTTTACGTTTGTTTGGATTAGGCTAAAGGCATTATTATTTGCTACAGATCACACATGTCTCTGGGCCAGGTAGGACATAGCACCGACACTCCCATAGGAATTCAGTAATAATACGAATTTCGACCAACCAAAAAAAAAGAAGTAATAATATAAATAAACAGTTACAATTAAAAATAATCTCAAAATTAACATCTTGTGATTTTTAATGTAATTTCTTACTTTCTTAATGGAAGCGTATTGAATTAAATACAGATATTCATTTAATTTTTCTAATTGAATGTTGCTCAAACCATGAACTATAAGACAATTACGCCAACGTATGAAAATACTAAATGGCCTATCTTCAAATATGAATATCTGAATCGTGACGTATCGATCTTGATTGATTTCTTTTTAAGAACATCATTTGAATATCTGAAACTACGTGTAATTGTTTTGGCTTTGGTAAACAAGCACAAGTATCTGAGTATTTCTCATTTAGTCTTTTTTATTTTTCCACACAATCAACCTTAAAAGAGTGTATAAATCAAAGGAAATGAGAGAAAGCCTCGATCCATGTGGGAGAATGCTTGATAAACACTGAGGGATATAATACCGAGAAAGATGGATAAAGCTTTTTTAGAATTAAATTTGTTTGTTATTTGAAAACGAGTTATCTATTATTATATAATTTAAAGTAAAAGATGATACTAATCTGTACAAATTTAAGGGTGAAGAACCTTTACTTTTTTTACATATAAATGTATTTTAGATGAGTTTTTTTTTCTAGATAAATGCAGTAACAAAAGAAAAAATAATAATAGATGTGATAAACAGACTGACGAAATGGGAATAAAGAAGTGTTTAAGGATTAGTGCCTCTTTTTGTTTCTGTTAGTCCTAACAAAATTTCATAAAAGACATATTTTTCGCTTTAAAGAAGATATGTTGAAGTAATCTGGTTAACAGGCAAATGTAATTAAATGAATGCATAAATAAATTTAAAACATGCTTTTTTTATTAGAAAAAATATTTTTAAAACTTATGCAAAATAATTATAAAACAAATAAGTTGAAAGATAATTTTAATTAGGTATTAACAGTGGTTTAAGTATTTATAAATTAAAGTTGATCCATGTATGACAAAAGTGTGGTTTTCTTTATATAGGAAGTGACCGAAGTGCATTTTTCGTTCCTGCTTTTTTGACTTGTGCTCGCTGCTCCTGTTATTATACCCACTAATTAGCTTCCTACTTTAGCACCATTGTTGTTGACTTCTCACTTCTCTCGCTGTTAGGCATAATGATATTCAACCTAGCACGAGTGATTTGACAATAACATAAATGAATGAAGCTGTGTTAATTTAATTTGTCTCTTTTAAATGCACAGTTTCTTAGCGTTTTTAAGTTTTTCCTTCTTCAGCCGACGGGATGGGAGCAATATTTCGTTTTTTTTAAAAATAATTATTTGACTGAAAACAATTTTATTCTAACAAACAGACAACCCATTAGTGGTTGACAATGATCTTTAAACTTAGAGTCAACGTTAAGCATGTTACGAGTGCTAAATAATTGGGTAAAAAAGATCTATTTAAGTTATGATATTGTGCATATTAAAACCTTTAATCTTAGTATTTGAAGTTTTACGTATGGCAGTTGCAATTTGTGAAGGAAATCAAGAGGAAAATGACTTGTTTGAAACGCCATTTGATGTTGCTGGCAATCAAAGTCCAACCAGTTCATGCAACTCAATTTTCCATCCCATAATTGGCATCCAAAGCGCAAGGTAAGGCAAGAATAGTTGACAAAAGCTAACCCTAATAACGAGAAAATAAACACATATTTTCACAACGTTGTTATTGCAACTTTAATTTTGCTATTCGTAACTTAGCTAATGTAGACACAAGACAGTACCTCGTGTTTGTAACATTTTTGTCCTCACGTGTGATGGACTACACGATGGTGGGGTCCGATCCATTGATTTAGAATTATGCGTATCTGAAATAATTTGAAGCACTTATATATTTTTTTAATGAAATATATGAAAATTAATTTATAATTTTAAAATAAATAAGGAGTTAATTGACTGCAGAAATGATGCTTGTTAAAGAGTCCTGTTCAAAGGTCACTAACGAAATGCCTTTTTTTAATCTGTCACAATTTTAATTTTTTTCTTTTTATCTTTTATTTTAAAAGTTTAAGAAAACATTTCTTTTTTTTTATTATACTCTTGCTTTAACAAAAAATTGAATTATTTTACACATTTATTATAGAATGCATAATTAATCATTGTGAAGTCTAAAAATTAATGGGACTAAATCACAAATCTGTTAATTTATCTGCAAATTAATCTATAAAAAATAGTTTACTTTTAGTATTAAGAGTTAGTGGATAAGATTAATAAATAAAAACTTATTTAATTAAGGAAAAAGAAAGATAAAATTATAAATTTAATGACGATTTTCTATAAACTAAAATGTTAATTAATCTTTTTTAACTGTATATAATAATATTAAATCACAGATAAAAAAAAATAATTATTTTTCTAAAAGATTTAGATCTATTCGGTTTGTGGGGCTAAGTTTTTCCCATTTTCTGACCTTAAGAAAACAGGAAGTAACATATCATACAGATTGTCTCACTTAATCATTTGACGGCACCCTCCTCTTTTGCAAAGACTATCACTTTGATACTTGATTGCGTTTATGTATTGCATAAAACTTCATTCTACAATCAAAATGAATATTTTATCTCAGCACAATTACTGTCCATTTTAGTTATATTATGAGGAAAATCGAAGTATAGCTTAGTGGGATAGGCGATACTTAAGGGGTGTGGCTTATGAAGCTGTAGTCCCGTGAAAACGCGATCCCTGTTGTGCTTCTTTTTCACAACAGAGAGTAATGGGTTTGGAAGCAGAGTCAGAGGCAGAGGCAGAACAGAGCAACATACCCATGCTACCCTTATTCTCCATCCAGGCAATGCAATCTCCACAGAGGTCAGGGACACTCACTCCACCTCTTCACACCTCTGCTTCTGTCCCTTTTCGTTGGGAACAAGAGCCTGGAAAGCCAAGACCTTGCAGTGCCCTTGTCACCTTCTCCAACACCAAGTGCTTGGAACTCCCTCCAAGGTTGCTCATACCATCTCCCACCACTGTCTTGCAGGGCCCTTATGTGACAAGTAACCGGTTTCGCTCTCCGTCTTTCAGAACCACCGGCAACTGCTATGGTTCTTCTGATGGAGGGGTGCTTGGAGCCATGGTTCTCACCAAAAGAATCAAGCACAATGGGTGGTGGTTTGGTTCTTGGAGGAAAAAGGCCTTCAAGCTCAAAAGAGAGGTCACTGGGGGTAGTCATGTGTTTCCCTCTAGTACTGACAAGGATACTACCACTGCAGACACTCACATGCCAAAGATGAAACGTTCTGGGAGCTTTTCCAACCTATCGCGTAGCAGGTTTCGTGTCTGGGTAAGGTTTAACTCTTCGTACATGCAACTTTTCCAGCTCTGATGACTATTTGGTTGGGTAATGCTTGACTTTATGACAGTATCTAGTGTTTCAGCGTTGGCTAGTGGCTACTTAAAACCGTATTGGAATTCATTAAAGCATGTAGTTTTGTGGTAGCAATTTATATCTTCTGGGTTCACGTGGTTTACAAGGTTAGGCTCCACTGGTTGGCCTCTTGGACCTGATCGTTTGCTAGGTCCACAAATTTTTAATTTTGCGTTGGTTTGACTGGGGATTATTTTGGGGGAAAATTTAGATTCTATTACACACGAGAGATTTCACTTGAATAAAGTTGCTACTTTTTTTAGTTGCCAAAAGGAAAGGTGCTATTTTCAGTTGAGTAACTGTTAATAGAACCCGGATTTGGCTCATAGAAAACAATTTGAAGGGTTCTGCTTAACCAAAGATGTGTGATTCGTGTCTCGAAATTAATGGGGTAAGATCTGTCATAAAAATGCAAATTGTCACTAATCTTCAATTTTTTGCAGACAAGTATATGTGATGGTTTGAAGCAGGCGATTCCATGGAGGAGTAAAAAACTGAAGAAAGATGGGAGTGGCCTTGGGCTCTAAAGATTTTGCTGGACTCAATCGTCTGGTCAAAAATCAAAGCTATCCACTAAATCTGTACTATATGTTTCCTTTATGAGATGACAATGACATTTAATTATAGAAGGGTAGCAGACAGAACCAGTTTCTTCTGTTGCTACGTCACTGTAAAACTTTGGGTTAGTTCATGCTTGCAACCTGTATGTTTTTTCACGTGACGAGTTGTACAGGATATTTTAGTTCATGCACTCAAGAAATGCTCTTGTCATATTAATTGGAGTTGGTGTGCTGTATGATAATTGATATGTCAGTGTACTGTAGGCATTGTTACGATCAAACATCAAAGTTTCCGTCTAATGTCCCGGGCAAAATCATATGGGCAGACATTACAAAATCTTAGTTTACCAAAAATGAAGTCGAAGGCATAACAAATTCTTCGAAGTTGTAAAATGTCTTGCGTAGGCTACACAAACATCATTTCAATAATATGTGAAATCAAACTAATTACTTTTTTATGTTATTAATTATAAATTGATTAATCAATTCGTATTTAGAAGAAATAATCAAATTACATATTTGTTTAAAAAAGTTAATTATATTTTAAATAACATTACTTGAAAGACATCACATTTTTAAGTGAAAGCTAAATTATGCTGTAATACTTTCGTCTACCTATTCGTTACGATATGTCAATTGATTATCAACCCAATAGGAGCCTCTTGGTGAAGGAAAGAGAATTGATTTCTGCAAAATTAAAAACAATTTCCCTCTATCAAGCATTCGTCGTAAATCGGTTATTATAATTTAAGGCCGTTTTCTCAACTCTTTTACAAACGGAGAAATAAAGTGACTCTCAGTGTTGTTTATTTCCCTACCAGGTAGATGAAACACAGTTCATAAAATTTAAATCGATGGAATGTTATGTTATTAGCTCGAGTTACGAAATATTTTTAATGACTTTAATTTATCTTTTTAGAGGTGGAGGTATCCTTAAGATTTTAGTATTCAAGATAATAGTAACCCCCTAAATCCTCATCAAAATGTTTAACGTTCTTGACATTTATATGTCAACTCGAATATTAAACGACATTGATATTTTCAAGTTTACGGTATACAAAAATCCTTCGTATTGACGCATAGAAACAATTTCAGAAATGGTATTTGCTAGTACCGGCAGAATTGATCAAGCGGCAGATAAACTGCTATTCAACCCAACACCTAATCTAACTTAACAAGATATGAAACCAGTAAATGATTCCGGAACAGATAGATCGTCAGAAAGGGAAGCTAAATCCAAGATCCAGTACTCTTATTTCTTGCACATTGAGAATTAAAATAAGTTCAAACAAAGAAGTTGGCAAATTTGCTCTTAAATCACAAGTCACCTTTACTTTTTACCAGTCATACCTGCAACGACCTGCAATGAGAAAGGCACCAATATCAGGAAACCATAAATGTGGTGGTAGGTGGTAGAAATCCAATAACCCTTCAAAACGAGCAATTTCTGCTACCAGTTAACATCTAATGGGGGCACTTAACGGCAGATTATTCTGAAGTCTGGACCTTTCGACTCGAAGACAAAACACCACCAAACAGAATTTTAGCACGACGAATATTATATTTACTATTCTGATGAAACAAAACATATGTATATTTATAAACTGCTTGGATTTGAAAACAGTATCACAAAGTTAATGCCAGAAGCAACACTCACGTCGCTTAGAGCAGGTTGAGGAGTTTGCTTGGTTGCCTGATATGAATCCAACATGGGCCTCACAACAGCAGGAAGAAAAAGACCTGATGAGAATTTCGCAACATAAAAAGTGAATAGCCTATCAATAGAAATGACGATATCCAAAGAGACAATATCTTCAACTTCAAATCTAATTTTAAATAGACCCGTGAAACAGCATACACTGGTCACCGAGAAAATTAATAAACCAAAAGAAAATAAAAAACCAGAGGCAAATATCTTACTATGATTTCTGCCTTTCCTAGTGCCCAAGGAGGGGAAGTTAGAGAAAAGAACCCCTAAAAAACCAAAAAGCAGAGTTCTACGTTTTTATTTTTATCCCTAATTATACAGAAAGAAATTTAAAGAGCAATTTGAGTTTAGTCCTGTATAAAACAAAAGCATAGAAGATTATTTACATGATTGTTGATCCACATGATGCATCCCAAGCTTCAGGTGATCTTATCAAATAAATGCATAGAAGATTCAGGCTAGAGCACGAATAATTATTTTGGTGATTGTGATCAAAGTGGTATTTGACAATCTGATGTGGCTGAATTAAATGAGGATTTCATGAATTGCAAATGTAGCAGAAATCACAATATAACATTACATTACAGTATTACACACACTCCAACGAAAGGACAACGATATAGAATCTATAACAGAATCTACTTCCATGTTCCAAACCTCTGGGAAGACTACAATTACAAATTTCAATTATTTTCCGAAAATCAAGTGCAGCCTTCCATGAAGCGATTGCAGATGGAAAGCGCTGCTAAATGAAAAAGAACTAGCGGAGTTTTTCACATGAAATTATTCACAAAGGGAAAATGGGAAAGGGGGAGAGGGTTATGATTAGGGTTTTGAGAATACCAAAGCCAGCGATGAGACAGGAAGCAGCGACAACTGGCTCTTGAACAACGAACATCTTCAATTTCTCCATCACTGCCATTTTCGAGTAAGATTTCGATTTCGATTTCCTTCCTCACTTCTGATTTCTTAGCTTCGTTTAAGTAAATGGCTCACTCGATTTTTTGGGTCTTTCACTCTCTTCTCCCCTCTCGTGCTACATCTGACTGAGGATTGGACTAGTGGGCCGTTAATGGCTGTCACGCAAATAGCCCGAAATGCTGACCCAAACTGAGCCCACCTTCTTGAGTTGTATTGGTCCGCTGGATGATTTGAAGGCCCACTGTCTGCCATTCTTTCCTCTCAGCTCTCCTGTCTTAATTATAATATTTTTTTTGACAAAGATTTAATATTAATCATGAAATATTTAGTAAAAGAAATAAATTAAAATTGCATATTTTATTCCTTTAATGTAAAGTGGGTGATATTTTGGTTTAACTTTTTCTTCAATCAAGTAAATCTCTTTAAACTAACAAAAGAAAGTAAATAATTTTAACTTTTAAAATTAAGTAATTTTAATTTTGTCATTATTAGTTTTAACTAATTTTTTTTAATTAACTTCATTTTATAAATTTATGATATATTTTTTTATGTAAAATAATTTTAATAAAAATAATAAATTTAGTAAAAAATTCATAAAATTTGTAGCATTGTATATGATATAAGGTTGGAGTTTCGAGGAAAAAAAAGTTTAATTACGCTGATTTTAAGTAAAACTTCATGTTTTGTTTAACAAATTTTGAACATACTATTGTTTAAAAGAATTTAATAAAATTGATTTGTGAAGATTTTGAGAAGAAATAAAGATGTTTATTGAATAAAGTTGACAACAGAACCAAAGTTACTTAATTATAATTTTTTTTAATATATAGCATATATGAACAAGTTAATGTACAAGTGTGTGATAAAAATATTTAGAATAGTCATAATTATTTATTAATTAAAAATAATAAAACTGTTTTTGCCGTTCATTATTGACTTGACTTGGTCAGAACAAAGTTAATACTCGTACAATGCACTACATAAACAAAGAATAAATGCATAAAATAAAATATGGACACAACTTCTACCATTCGATACAGGATAACAGCAAACCCAACCACTACAAGAGTTCCATCTCACAGGCTGTGCTCCTCAACAAAGGGTCACCCCCTACATTTTTTTAAAGTAATTAGTCAGAGAAATAAAGTTTTTGGCAGTTTATAGTTGGAATATTCTTCTCCTGCTATCTGGAAGATATTAAAAGAAATAGCTGTTTCGCATCATCTACAAGAAAAATATTTATGCACATCATCTCATTGAGAAAAACAGATTCATTACATAACAGAACATAGAATTTACAATACAAGGACTAACAAACAAATCTACAAAAATACATACACATCTAATAAAATAAATGGGGCCACCTTCCCTGAAAACCATTTCCCTTTATCAATCTTTTATGACAAGCAGGACTATGATCTAAATCTTACAGAATTATGTACGAGGCAACATCCAACCCACAGTCCATCCTAAGAGTATGCCAGCCCCAACAAGACTCAATCCTAAAGCAAATGCTACAGCATATGTTGTAATATCACATTTTGGCTTGCCATGCCTTTCTTGTTTGACATTGGATATTTTCTGCTTCCTCTTTCGTGAGTTTCTACCATCATAGGATATCCATGGCAAGGCCACTGGAAAGAGAGTAGAGATTGGCTGATCCTTGTTCTTAATCTGACTGCAAAGAGTCTCCAGCTGCAGCAGTTGTAACCACTGCTTATAGGCAAAAAGTTGTGAAGCCTGTTTGAAAATGAGAGTAACAATATGCTCTTTCTCTGCATAAGCTTGTTTTGCTGCTTCCTCTGCTTCCCTTGCCCGCGTTTGAGAGTGACACAAGGCTTCCATGAGTTGAGCTTTGCTGGGGTCTCCATCAAAAAATTTTTGAAACTTTTTGACATCCTCATATATTGGGGTATTACTGCAACAAGGTTCCAAGCCCAGACAAATATTACGCAAATAGAAAGCACAAAATCTATATAAGGTCACTTATTTGAAAGTAATTTGTAAACTAAAGATTTTTATAGTAAATTTTAGCCACTTAATGATCAAATGCAATAATCTTTAACAGCAAAAATACCTTGAACATTTGTCAGAAGCAAAATATAAAAGCCCTTCGTTGGGAGAAGGGCCTTGCTTGTTATGCATCAATCCTGAATCAAAACTTCCCTGTGTATGAGCTGACAAATCGGAAAAGCTTCTGGATTTGGCTTCCCAGTCATTAGATGCCCTTATTATTTTGTCATTATTACTACTAGCACATGGGTATCCCCTAAAATGCTTCTTTTGAGGTGGGGGAAGATCACAATTTTCAATATGGTTGAGTGATTTCTGTGAAACAAAGGAAGCTAAATCATCTCTATCTGTAGTCCTCCACCATGGCTCGGCCCTATCACCTTCAATCCAAGAATAATCTGATTCCAAGGAAAAATCATTTGTTTTCTTGGAGGACACTGAGCAGCCAACACAATCAGAGTCCATTCTCTCATGTTTTTCCATCACATCCATTATTTCCTGAAATTCTTGAGAAATCTTACTACCATCACTAGCTATCAAAGTTTCTACCTCTTCCTCTAATGCGTTTAACTGTTCATATGTCAAACCCTTTTGATACCCATAATTAGGTTGTAAATGCAACCACCACCTAGAGTCAGGTGATAGATTAGAAAATGATGATTTGCTGTTAACATGGGAGGGATTAACTGCAGCATGACCAGATTCATCAGCTACACTGGCAGGTTCAGCATCAACCAATTTAGATGTTGCACATGAAGATTGGCAACAAGCCAACTTGGGAGCTCTTTTTGCATCTTCTTGGACAAAGCAACGATTGGCAGCTCTCTGCCACAAAGCCCTTGCTTCTGCTGCTGCCATCGCTTATCTATTCTTTCTTCATACTTTCTGAGTGAAATAAATATATCAGTAGTTTAAAAATTCTGAATCCATTTAAGGGGAATTACGCATTATGTGGACAGCTGACAAAGTAAAAAACACACAAGCATCAAGAAAATACCTGTAATTAGTTGACACCAATGCACTTCTAGCCAAAAATATAATAAAAACAAAACATTGGGATGCATAAGATTGGCTCTACTACTCCAAATATCCACCATTAAAAGAAATATAAACAAAAAAGACAATAATTTTAGCACAACGCAGAAAAGATGAAAGTCATACCAGGGCAGATCAGTAGTAGTCTGACCTGAGAAGTCCAAATAAACACTTAAGGCATTTTAGCAACATGCTAGTAGCTTATGAAATCTGGTTGTCACTAAGGCTATGCTTGTTTCAGTAGGGGGAAAACGGAAATGCATTTGGACATGATAATATACTTTCACCTTTCACATATAGTCTTTGACATATACACATACATTTCCATTTCCCAATCATATTCAACCTCGCATAGCCTTGCAGAAATCAACAATTTAATGATGTTGTTGTCTAAGAAGAAGAAGCAGCAGCAAGAACAATGAATTGTTGCATCCTGCACAAGACTTTTTTTGCAAGAAAATTTCTCTGACTCCTCTTTCTTCAGGGAAAGATAGGCTAAATGTTGAAGACTTTGTCATCATGAGCTCTTAGGGCACGTGTTAATTAATAAAAAATAGGATTTATTACTTTTAATTATATACTTTTCTGTTTATAATTCTTTTAATCTATGCCTTAGGGCATACCATAGCAAAAGTCAAATATTTATGCCAGTTACCAGAAACTATAGTTGTGACACGCTTCAAGCGTTAATCTGAACTTCTGATGCACAAGATTAGAAAATCCATAAATGATGGCGATCACCACTTGAATTGACAATGTAAAAGTGCCCTATACCAAAAAAGGGGTCTCAACCTCAATTTTCCCAAAACCCGTGACAGAGTCATATTTTGGGCTTCTACATACACTATTGAAATCATATACCAAATACAACGGGGAAGGGAACAGATAACACGGAAACTAAAAACTCTCTTGCATGGCAGTGCCTCTCCAAGACTTCAAGTTACAAGATTTAACAAAACAGATCAAAATAGTCAAACCCAACCATATTCACAACAAGCATATAAATCAGTCAACACCCAAATGAAATCAGAAACAACTACAACAAAGAGAAGGAAAATTCGGCAAATTTTGCACCACCTAGAACATGAAAATCATTCAAAGAAGCGCAAACATACATGTAACGATCATGCTAGTGAGACAAAAGATGTTAAGTAGCCTTTGCTTATGAAAATTTAGAGATCAAAACGGAGTAAACAAAGAAAGATTGAGTGAACAAACCAAGGTGAGTGGATAGATCCAACAGAATCAGAGGATGGAGAAGAAGGTGATGACACTTGTTTTCTCGTTTTCGTTATCATTCTATTCTATAAGGTCGGTTTTCACAAACAGCTTTTTTCTCGCTCCGTTATAGACACGACAACTGAAGTACTGGACACTACGACGCCGTTTCGGCGTCATCTTTTATTACTTAATCAGTCTTTGTCAAATGGTTGGTCTGTGCTTAGCAATGGTGGGGTCCACGGAAAATTCAATCTCAAGAGTTTTTCATGATGCGTCCTAGTAATACCACGTGGGCAATGAAGCTCAAATCAACGGCTGATAGCTTGTCCTTCTGGCCCTAAAAAGATAAGTAGGAAAGAACTCTTTATCTTTCTTCCAAATGAGAGACACCTTTTTCTTTTCATTTGTTCAAGGGGCACATAAGAAAACCTCTTATCCTCAAGGTCATGCCAACCCCCAGTTTGGCTTGTCCTAAGAATTAATTAGGTATAAGAGCTATAAATGCTTCTTTTTGTGCTCTCGTCATAAAATTTATTGAAAATACAGAGTCAGTGAGATTTTAAAATAGTCAATGAACTAATTTTGTAAAATAATCACCCTTTAAAACTCTTTATTAAATGTTTTTAATCATTTTACAAAACAAAACATTAAATATTTTTCGCTTTTTTAATATAGAAGACTAATTCTTTAATATAATAAGTATCTTTCATTTAATATATTAATATGCCTAATTAATAACTTAATACTCACGTGTTAGCATTTTAAAATGCTTATTGATGTTGTTTAATAACCTCGTAATATCGAAAAATAATAAATATTGTTGGGAATAGATTAAGATTCACCATTCAGAAAATCATTGCATTGGGTGGGTGTATTCAAACTTTATAAGAAAACAACGTGCGTGCCCTTGTTTTATAGTTGACATAATAATAGGAAATAGCTTGAGTAGAAATGGAATATGAGCATAATTGTGATTCACGTAAGGTTTTCCATTCGGGTTGCCGAGAGAGAAGAGAAGGATCCATTTCGATGTTGGTAGGTGAATCCACAGATCCGGCTTCACTCTCTCACTCTTTGTCTGTGGCCCACAACTCGAGCAGGTCACTTCACTTAACCCAATGTTCTATTTATAAAAAAGTTTATCTTTCTTTAAAAATAAGGTAATTACTTTTTCAAAAAAATAAAAAAACGACGAGCGTTTTACTGTTTAAATAAAGGAATAATAATAATAATAATAATGTGAGGCCTAATAATGGCTTAGTTAAACATTAGTGTTAAAATGGTCTCCAAATTTTGGGGAAAAAAAAGTGTATAAAACTCTCTAAGGGCTTGTTTCTCTCTGGACCTGGCTATTTTCAGTTACAATTATTATTATATTTTTATATTTGATTTTTCTTTTTTTATCTCAAAATTTTCCTTATATCTTCTATTTATCCTTTTTACACTCATTTAGTGGTTATAAAATTATCATTTTCCTTTCAGTTTGTCTTCAGTGCACCGCACTATCCTAAACAAGGATATTAGTGTGAATTTATTAGCTTGACATTTCAATAGAAGAATGGAATTTCGTAGCTAAAGCATATATACGCCTCTAATTGAGAAACAAATCAGCAAATCTCTGGAAAATGATATTGTAGTATTTTTGGAATGAAATCCTCTTACTGTAATGTGGCAATAAGATACAGGTAGCGTTCAAGTGTAGTAGGAACCCTTACTTGAATAAATTTTGATTTTGCACAAATGTTTGTTCTTGGAAACAAAAATGGCCCTCCCATATACAGTCTTATGGTCAAGGGTCATTGTGCCTCGTAATTTTTTCCCACATCCGTGTCTCGTGCTCATAAGAAATGAATATTGTTATGTCAACAAATGCCATCTAACGGATAATTAGCTGAATAGGAACTTTATTTTATAAATGAAAAAAAGAATTATGCATTACTAAAATTTTAATCAGTACAAGACAGTTTGATGAATCTTCCAGCAAGATTGATGAAATTCCTAGTGGCAAATCTTCAATCCAGAACTGTTCACCAAAAGGAAAAGCAAGGGAAGCTAAATAATCAGCTAATCTATTGAGTGATGCATAAATAAGAACTACTGTTTCTTGGCATGTGTATAAATTTATAAAAATTAACTGTTCTTAGAAACTAGCAGGCTCAGGATGTTCGTAACTTCAATGAACTCTACACTACAAACTAGGTTTTCTATTCACAAAAGTCAAAAGTTGAACCTAAATCAAAATGAATTCATGCATTCTATCCAAATGAAGCAATGGGGTTCATTTGTTTGAGATGTTCTTATAGCTTGATATCTTACTTTCCCAAGTTTAGGACCATTTAGTTTTGGTCTCGGATGAAGTTATACAGACACCTAGATATGTAAATATGTCTCTAACAGCAGCCTTTAACAACTTAAGCTAAAGGTTTTATCCAACGAACTATATCAGTTCCTCGAATCAACAGAGATAAAATTAACACTCGTGCATAACATCTAGCTAGAGATTGTTTCTTATGCAAATGTCTTGGTGGGAGCTCTCTTCCACTTCCAGTTATTATGTTAAAGTTAACATCTAAAAATAAACTTCGAATATAATATTGGATACAATTATTTTATTTTATTTTTTTCATATACGCATATAAAGAAAATACTTTCCTAAATTCAACGAGACACCTTCTATGTCAATAAAACATTTTAATTTTCTCTAATGTTTCACTTCAAGAATTTTTCTTCCATTATGTGCACTACCTTATATGAGGTAGTCTCGCACATTTTCTCTTGATCCTAATCCTACATTAATTTACTACAGGATATTAAAAAAACAGGCTTAACTAATTTTTAAAAGTTAAAAAATTGTGTAAGTTTTTTAAAAATATTTTGATTATATTCTTAACTGATGGGACATTTTAATACACCCCTTTTCATGTCTAGGCATTTTATGTAAAATATTTATTTTATTTTTTTCAAATATTTAGACGAAAATAGTAAAAAAAACATATTTTCACTGTTTCAGTATAAATATTTAAAAAATAAACAAAAATATTAATTTTATAATTAAAAAAAAACAATAAAAAAATACATTTTCTAAAATCAAACGTTAGCTTCCTTTCCCAATTCTGTCCCAAACTTTTCTTCATAACAAGGGGAGCTGTTTATGGCAAGCTTAGGACTTGTTCTTTAGCTTCCAGAACCTTGGAATGTCCTCTCGATCTAGCTCTCTCTAACTTGTACAGTAAAGCCAAAGGTTTTCGTTTCAGAATTAGCTTCTCCCAGTTTTCACTGGACTTTGAATTAATGGCAAAGATTTACATGTAAGACAATTTTAGGTGTACCAAATTTATATTTTATGTAATAGACCAAACAACAAAAACTTTGCCTGAATGTATGAATTCCAAAATGTTTTTTGTGTTATTTTTCCTGCTCTGCGTACTAGTCTTATGTTTGAAATACATGCATGTGTATAAAAAAAGATAACATTGGCACATTGGTATTACAACCATTTGTCGATAGATATTTGAAAATTGAAATCCAGAATCCGATATATCTCCATTTTCCATGAACTGCGTCGGTATAGCGAACAAAATATTAGGCGTTTATAAATTCCAATATTTTTGTCTTTAGCAATTCGTATAGGATCTTCCTTAACAGTTGAGCTATTCCATTCATTTCTTAGTTCTATGTTATTAGGGCTGAAACTGTATAATCTTGAGAAGACTCAGAATACCATCGACTTCATCTAAACTTTTTCTTCATCAAAGAATACCATACACTCTTTCTAGACAAGGTTGTCTTGTTGTGAGATCAACGCCTCCAGCATAGACTCTGCATATTCGAAACTTGAAAATCGGATCAACAACTACTTTGTCAGGATTACATTTTATTATAAATTATAATTTATTCTGTTATAATTGTATATTTTTCTCACTTATTTTCTTATGTATTTTTAATAAACTTTTTTAAAGTTTAGATTAAAGTAAACAATGTTGGAACTACATTTAAAACTGTAATCAATAAACCCAAAATTGTAGCTAAATTAAACAATATTTTTGTTAATATAAATATTTAAGGTTAATTTTATGTGTTTAAAAATAGTAACTTTTTATTAAAAATATAGTACTATATTTTTATATAATAAATATTTTTTAATAAAAAATAAAATAACTACTTTTAATTACTTGAAATTGTCTCTAATGATGTAACATTTTTCATTGAACGAAGATAAGGGAATATATTTTCATAGAAAAATTTTATGTGGTGAACTCTATTTAATCTATTCATAAATATTTATAAATAAGATAAGATCTGTCTGTTATTGTTATAAAGAAATATATACACAATTTTTCATATAATAAGGTCACATAAAAAAGTAAAAACGCATGAGAAGATCAGGATCCATTATCTTGTGTTTATTTCACATTAAGTAACATATGCTGGCAATTTGTATTTACAGGCTAGATAACCTATAAGACTTTTATTTGCTTTCATAATTCAAGAAAAATTGTCAACGGATGCATAAGCACCCTCCTTCCTGATCATTTAGTAATATATTAGGAGTTTACAAAGCATTTTTGTTAAGAAAATTATACACACGAGTGCATTTATCCTAAACTAACATTTAACAGTGTTTTAGCAGGTGTTAACATTATCAATGCTATATACCCAGTCACCTTCTACAGGAAATTCAAATGGATCTAAGACCATGGAACAATCAAATTCTAATGACAAAGGGTCAAGGTGGCCCTGAGCGTTGTTGTTACTAATGCTCAACAACTGGTCTTTTTGTTCTCTCAGCTCTGATACCCGAGTGTTTATCGATTCCAACTGTGCTTTCAACTCTTGAATCATCTTTTGTAACTGATAAATAGCTCCAGCACTGCCATAAACTGGGTCTCTAAGCCTTGCCGTGGCCTCGTAGACCATGGATTTAACCGCATCTTCTCTCTTTGTTTCCTCCACCATCTAGATCAATAAGAACATATATGTATTAGAATATTAAACGTACCTTCTTCTATCTGTCTCCTTCATCATGTTAATTTAAACGTCTAAGAAGAAACGACGAATACTCAGTTCATTGGTGTGCAAAAGTTAGATTTATGATTATACCGTTTTCCCTAAATTTTTCTCTCTTTTAAAGAAAAAATGATATTTGATTTTATAACAGATCGATTTTACAAGTATCATACAGCATATTTTACCAATTCAATCATATATAATATTCAGGGAAATGAAACAGTAAACATTGGACAAAAACAAGCCGTCTAAAGAGACTAATTTGGAGGATTTTGATTAAAGTAAGATAAAAAAACTTAGGGTACTGCCAAAATGGGTGCATTGCATGTATATCCACTTGGAAATTATAATTAATGCAACAGTGTTGTAAAATTAAGGGTATAAATCGTGTACGGAGCTATGTATCCCACCTGAATCATTTTGATAACGTTGCTAGCACCGAACACTCTATGCACTCCAACAAATTTCTCAATCTCATCAGTTGGGAAATATGGAGCAAGTAGGCACTTACTATCACATCTTCTGCGCAGCATCCTGCAAGCTGCACAAGGTTGATGTATCCTCGCCTTTGCCTCAGCATGGAAACCCATATCTTTCAAAGATACAAACTAATTTAATGTCTAGGCTGAATAATTAATGAAGCACGTATATATATATATATAGAGAGAGAGAGAGAGAGAGAGACAGAGAGAGAGAGAGAAGATGGAAGAGTTTGTTATAATAGGAGAAGCAGAAAAAGTTCTTGCTTTGGTGCTAGCTTTTTCAAAGGTTAAGTGCAAGGAAGATGCAGAGGCGGCCACTAAAGACAGATTTTGGATGATGCTATTGTTGAAAAAATAAATAGATCAATAACTTTTTATTTGGTCGAAAAATAAATTAATAACTTGAGAAGGTTATGTCAGTCTCATTGTTGGGACAGTGGACCTAACACACGGTAACCCTTTCTATAACTGGACAATTTGGAGAATAGGACCAGTTACTGGTCCAGCCAATGCAACTCCCACATGCATGGCGAGATCCAAGACCAACTACTCTTCGAAGGAGACAATACATAAACAAGCCAACAAAAAAGAAGAAAACAAAAATCAATTTTTTGTTTAGGAGTCAGTGATATATAATTTTGGGAGACACTTACAATAGACACTCACAATAGATATTATTTTTAAATTGATTTTATATTGTAACACTGCAGAATCACTTTATTATGAATTAGTTTTTATATATATATATATATAAATGCCGTATGACTTCACTTTAACATTTAATAAAATGAATATTGACAAAAAAAAGTATGTGATTCATCTTTTAACAAAAAAAAAAAAAGAACAAGTGATTATGATTCAATTACATACTTCCCTATAATTTATAGCTTTTTAGATTCAAATACTTGAATACTTGTTTGCTTACTTTATTTTTTAAGAAATAAATTATTTACTTTATAAGAGAGCTAAAACAAATATAATTTTTAAAAAATTTGTATTAAAATGTAGTAAGTCTTATTTATAAAATTACAATTTTTAAAGTATCATTTGCTAAATTATTAATGAACTTTGTTTTACTCTTTTCTTATTTCTTTCCTTGTTTTCAAATGAAAATCAGTATTCCCTTCACTTATTTTTTAATTGCTTAAGGTTGTGATATAAGAATTAAGTAAGAAATAAAATTAATGTTTAATTTTATGAAAATTATTAATCAAATATAGATATGTATTATCTTCTATATGAAACACTTATATTAAAAATATATATCAATTAATTATTAAGAGTGAAATTAAAATAATATATTTAACTCATTAATATTATAAAATAATAATGAAAATGAAATAAAACATAATTATTAAAATGTCAAATAAAAGGAAATGAAGGGAGTACATGCATAAGAATTCTATATATATTATCTCCTATACATAAACAAGTTACTAAATTGTGTGCGTATGTATATATATAATTTAATTTTAATATGCATGGCTATATATAAATATTATTACATAGCGTACTTAATCTGCTGAATTTTTGGACGTATACACCGTCAAATAAACTTCAGAGAATTCAAAGTAGGAAGTGTAAAATGTCTAAACACATCGCGATATAATATGTTAATTTCTTTAATGTTCCTTTCTGGGGCTTCTTTTATTGAAAACTGAAAAGAAAAAACAAAAATGTTAGCTAGCTTAGCTTGACTGATTGCGCTTTATTTCACCTATCTTACGTGTTTATATATCCCATTGTTATGAGCATGTGATCACAGCCAAGATTTGACTGCAGTGGACCGCAACTGCAAAATATGAAAGAAAATCTCCCAAATAAAGTAGAATTAATTAAATTTTTGCTGTCGGTGCTCGCAAGCTAGCTAGGTGCCAGTCTTGTTCGATCAATTTAAGATGTTACGCATATAGACGTCTTATCTTCTGTGACTCCTTTTCGCTATTTGTAGGTGACTGAGAATGGAAACTTTAATTTTTACCATGAGTTGTGATTTGTGAACTTCTGATTAATATATTATACTCATATTAGGAAAAAAGAAAAAGTATGCATACAATTAGAATCAGAAGCTATAAATATATTAATTTGATTGTAAAACATATTTTGATATATTTGACATTTTTTGGGGTCGGGGGAGTCCGAAGAGAAAAGAAACTCCGCCCTTACTCTAAGATACTGTGAAAGGGATGATTTTCCATTATATTATTGTAAATATATACAGCTTTTTATACAAATTAGTTATTGATTTATAGGAAAGAATAATACTATAAATTTTTATCTAAAGAAACAACATAAGTTAAGTGATGAGAGTTTCTGTAAACGTGTATAAATAAGTTTTATGGTACTCTCTAAAATTAGGAGTATTCTGTGCTCTTTTTCATTATAGAGTAAGTGATTTATTTGAAAGAGCCATAAATATTTTTTAATTTTTAAATATTAAATAAATTACACTCCTTAATTTAGAAAGAGTATATAATACTCTTTAATTATAGGGATACAATAACAATTACCATGTGTATAAGAAATATATGATATATGAAAGATAAATAAATGATTCAATTAGATTCCTCCCTAAGCTTAAGACTATGCATGAGCTTGAAAGTGAGGTGTCAAATGGTTACAAAAAGAGGTTTTTAGTGAAGATATCATCTAGTTAGTGATGAGATGAAATAAATATGATGCAAATGTTTCTTTCTTGAATTTTATCTTGGACAAAGTGATAATAAATCTCTATAAGTTTGATGCGTTCATGAAATATTGAATTATTGACAATGTGTAGCGATGCGGATTCTTAATTAAGTGAGAAGGAGCTGAAGTTAAGTGATTTCATTGATAGTATTAGCCATGGCACGTTATTTGACTTCGACTTATGAGTGAGAGATAATAGATTGTTTCTTTGTTCGCCATAAAAAAAGACTAGGGCCAAGGAAGGTACAGTGACCAGAAGTAGAGTGACATATGATGGTGCATGAGATACAGGGGGAAGATTTGCAGTGAGTGATAATTGACTCCTTGGTTGAACAAAAGTGTCTCGCAGACCAATTAGAAACTGCATAAGTCGACATTGTTCAAGTTGGACAATGTATTTGTCTTTCGCAGCACATGAGCATGTTGGCAGAGAGTCAAAGAGCTTTAACTCATCCTAATAGTTACGAAGCTTGTTGTAATAGGTGGCAATGAAGTGATTTTGTTTATGTAAGGTTGCAATATGGCGTTCAAGCTCATAGATGTGACAACCATTAGCAGTGGAAAAACGAGCTTTGAGATCAGACCACACAGTGGTGACACTTAGGGCTATAAGATGCTCTCTAGCAAGTATGGGAAGACTGCAAGATCAACAGAATCAAATTTGCACTGTCCTTTGCGGGCTACAGTCATGGTAAGGGCCCATGAATTGTAATTCTCAAGGCCAGTTAGCACATTGTCTACCAGTTTCCTCTCAATGCCATCAAATGAGTGAATGTAGTATGGACTCACTGAATCCAGAAGAGTGGAATGGATAGCAGAGGTGGTGTGGTGGAGGAAGCTTCAGTTGTCATGACAAAAAGATTATTCTTCTTCTAATACCATCTAAGATATTATGAAATGAATGATTTTTCATTAAATTGTTACAAAATATACACAATTTTTATTATAAATTAGTTTGCTGATGTATAAAAAAAGAATAATGCTATAAATCTTCTGTACAAAGAAACACATTAATCTTGAATCAAATAATTCAGTTATATTTGAAACCCGTGCAGAGATGGAATATGGCCTCAGCATTAGAGTCCAGAAGGATGGCCTCAAGGGAGGCAGATTCACGATCAAGTTGGTTTCTCCTACACCATAAAATGTGCTAATTTTCTCTTGCGGAGAATTTTAGCTGTGAATTTTCATATTATATTAAAAAAACATATAAATTATTATAAGATATTTTTAATTTCTATAAATATGATTAAATTTAATTCTAGTCTCTAAGAAATATTCTTGTTAACTGTAATTTTCATAAATTTTAAAACTTTTAAATAGCCTCTCTTGCCGATTACAAAGAAGTATAACATGATCTGTATTTAAATATGTCTAGTTATTATCTTCACTCGCTGACATAATATTGACATCACAAAATGATAATAAATATTTTTGTTTAAAATGTATAAAAAATTTAATTAACATTTTTTAAAATTAAAATTATATATAAATCAATATTAAAAATCAGTTAAACTTTAAAAATGAATAAATTTCTTTACAAAGCAAAACCCAAATATCAACAAGTCACGTTGGTTGACGGCTTAATAACTTTAAAGCAAATGCTAGAAAAAAATCCACACAAAATATCAAATTATGACAAATGGATATGTATCAGAGACTACGGTATTCCGACTCAGTATCTGATGTCAATTGTTAAGATGTTAATGGCACCACCGAGAAGAAAAAAGTGCAAAACAAAATATTCAAAGAAAGGAGAAAGAGGAAAATTTGGAATATACAGATCTAGTAATTGTGAATTGTGTCACTAAAGAGTCTTATATTCAATTTCTGTTTGCGATTTTTAACGGTATATATGATATACCTTTCGCATTATTGAAAGTGGGGATGGAAATAAATAAAGTCACTTGTCAAAGATTTGTCAAATAAATATGGATAAGATATTTTTAAAAGTTTATACAGTTTACAAATTTTAAGTTATTTAATTTTTTAAAATCCAGCCGATCGATTAGTTTACTTAAATAATTTATTATTATTATTATTATTATTATTATTATCATTATTATTATTAATCTTTTACCTTTTTTACAAGTTGAAGTTTATTAACTTATATATAAATTTAAGTTAATTAGTGTATTCTTATACATATTAAATTTCAGTCTTCAATTTTTTAAAATTGTTTTCTTTTTCATTATAGCATATGCCTTTTTTTTTGGCATTGAGTATTTATTTTCTTAATTTTTATTCTTTTAAATTAATTTAAATATTCAATATGTTATTAAAATAAAGATATAATTTAGTTAATGTAAATTATTCAAGCTCACACGTCAAAAGCTTAATAAAACTTGTTTAGTTAATTAACTAAACGAATTTAAATTTAAATTTAATAATTACTTGTTGCTTAAACACAATTTTATTTA